TTTTTTTTTTTTTTTTTTCCTCTTCGTTTTCCGCGTACTGTTTTAAGTTTCTACGTGTTTTGCTTGTTCTGTGATTCGTCGATCGGACTGCCATTTTCTCTCCATCAATGACTATGATGACTCCTCCACCTCTTGATGTAATTTGGCTACTCCTTTTTAGTTTCTGTTCTTGATTTTCTTTTTTGGTTTTTTTCGTACTCGTCGTCCTTTGATTATTTGTTTTGGTGTCATTTCTTGTTCTTTGAATTTTGCTCTTTAGGGTTTTGATTTTGGTTTGGACGTCAAATTGAGTTGAGAATTCAATAACTCGGTTTTTTGATTGATATATCTCTAGGGTTTCGATTCAATCTTCGTGGGGTCGAGTTTCGTCGTTTGGAAGATCTGATTTTCTTGTTTTGTTCTGCAGCAAGAAGACGAGGAGATGCTTGTGCCGCATTCGGATGTAGTGGAGGGTCCTCAGCCAATGGAAGGTTTATATTCAGCCTGCTTGACTAGTATACTATTTGGTTTTGAAGTTAATGGGTTTACAATTCACTGGAAGATTGGTTGTTTTAGTTTTTTTTTGTGGCTTGACTTCAGTTTTATCGTGTGATGATCCCATTTTGTATCGAGGCGTTGATTTGTTATTCTGCATTTATGTGAATGTTTTCGACAGCTCAAGTGGAGCCTCCTGGCACCATGGAGAGCCAGCAAGTGGAGGATCCCCCACCTATAAAATTCACATGGAGAATTGAGAACTTCTCTAGGTTAACCATGAAAAAGTATTATTCTGACTCGTTTTCTGTCGGAGGATATAAATGGTACATTCTATCATCTCATTTGCAAAACTGCAATTTGCTCCTTTGAGTTGTTATAGCTAGTTGTTGATTTGAGTTGGTTGGTTGGTTTCATCAGGCGAATATTACTTTTTCCAAAAGGAAACAATGTTGACCACTTGTCAATGTATTTGGATGTTGCCGACTCTACCACGTTGCCTTACGGGTGGAGTAGATATGCACAGTTCAGCTTGGCTGTGGTTAATCATGTCCATAAAAAGTATTCAATACGAAAGGGTAAGTACTTCCCCATTATCTGAGAATTTATTTATTTTTCACTATTCATTTTAACATGTAGAAGAATGGGGTTCTTTCTTTTCTGGTACTTTTAGTCGCGAGGTAAATATTTTGATCACTTGTAGATTGATATGTTGAGCATTAGATGAAAACTAGCACTACAAAAATATATTGAGTTCAGAATTTCTCTCCCTTTCTCCTCCTTTGTGAAGCATGGCCAATAAGCTTTCATATGTTTCCCCCAATATTTTAATCGATTCATGCACAAATAAGTTGTATACTTCTACATTTATTTTAAGATAATAATATAAAAATGATAGTAAATGTCCGACATGTCTTTCAAAGATATTGGAGATGGCAAAATTCTTTCAAATCATAGTTTTAGAGGAAAAACACTACACCAAAGATGGAGAAGGAGAAGAAGTCAAATGAAGGTTTAAAAACTTACTATCGATGAGGGCAGAAGGATCTGTACTCTGTGGTCAACACATAAGGCTGCTGTACATGGAAATAGGTGGACAATTCGGATAATAGACAGAAGTGAATCAAACTTATCAATCTCACGATCAACAAAGGCTTTTTCATTATGAAAATAAAAAAGAAACACTCTCCTCGTCCAAATAAGTCATATATGTTTTGGAAAGGGCTTCAAAATAAATTTAGGGAAATTGTGATGGAAGGTAGTAGCCTCCTTAGAGTGATCAGTCGACACTGGATCACCTTTATTTCATAATTTCTTTTACTACAGTCGCCAGGACTTTTTGAAATTAGAAGCTTATCGGAGTCCTTTTTTGTTATTAGTTTTGGTGTCCTTTTGGTTGGACATGTCTTTGGTATGCCCTTATATTCTTTCAACTTTTACATTGAAGTTTGGTTTCTTACCAATTTTTTTTAAAACTATCAATTGATTTCCATTATTAATTTAGCATGCTTTTGTAAACTGACAAGAGACCTGCTATCCTATTTAGAATATTGCTCTTATGTTTATGAAAACTTAACTGTTTGGGATTTAAGCAACTATATATTTTTAACTCTTCATGTTTAATTATGCAGACACAAAACACCAATTCAATGCTAGAGAAAGTGATTGGGGTTTTACATCATTCATGCCTCTTAGTGATCTTTATGATCCTAGTCGAGGGTACCTTGTAAATGACACGTGTGTTGTTGAAGCTGAGGTTCTAGTTCGTAAGGTTCTTGATTACTGGACCTATGATTCAAAGAAAGAAACTGGATTTGTGGGTCTTAAGAACCAAGGGGCAACTTGTTACATGAATTCTCTTCTTCAGACACTTTACCATATACCTTATTTTAGAAAGGTAGGAAAAAGTTTCATAACTCCTATATTTCTCTTACGGATGATTTCTTAATTCCTGATTCTTTTTATCCAGGCTGTTTACCATATGCCGACAACTGAGAATGACATGCCTTCAGGAAGTATCCCTTTGGCTCTTCAAAGTCTGTTCTATAAACTTCAATTTAATGTCAGCAGTGGTGCAACTAAAGAGCTTACTAAGTCCTTTGGATGGGATACTTATGATTCTTTTATGCAACACGATGTGCAAGAACTCAATAGGGTTTTGTGTGAAAAGCTTGAAGATAAAATGAAGGTATAGTACAGGATATTTGGATTTGTTTGATGAATGCTTATAAAAATACATACAGTCAATCATATATTCATTGACTTGGCCCAATTTCTATTGACATAACTTGTGTACATGTTATTATATTTATCTTTTCTTTTACAATCTTTCTTTTGGTTTTGGTCTAGGGAACTGTTGTGGAGGGGACAATACAACAGTTATTTGAGGGGCATCACATGAATTACATAGAATGCATTAATGTTGACTACAAATCTACGAGAAAGGAATCGTTTTATGGTACTTCTGGTTTAAAAGCCACTCTTTGAAATTTTGAATTGATTTAAGATCTTTTAGCTTGATTTTTCTTTGGGTGGATTGTCAGATCTACAGCTTGATGTGAAAGGTTGTAATGATGTCTATGCATCTTTTGATAAGTATGTGGAAGTTGAACGTCTTGAGGGTGATAACAAGTATCATGCAGAAGAGCATGGCTTGCAGGTTTGTACTGTTGATGATTTGATTCAAGGCTTCCTATCTGTGTGCATTTATGTTATTTTGTGGTTGTTTAAGGGCAATGTCATTCCAAGGTGTATTCTTTGTATATTGTGGCCATTTAAGGACAAAGCAAATTTTGGGGCTTTGTGTCTGGATAAGTAGCATCTGATGCAATTCTCTTTCTTATTTCTGGTGTTGTTTCTAGCTGTTTCTGATGAAAGCATAGCTATTTTCTTCATTTATGTGTGTGTGTTTTTTTAGAAGTTTTTTAACTTTTAATACTGAACAATGGGCAACCTACGTAGGAGGTTATATGGGGCTCATTTGCTTTCCGGGTAAAATTGTTCAGATTGTATTGTCTGTCTCCACTTACTTCTTATAACTAATATTTTTGTGTTGAAAAGATCGACTACCTAAAATGTTTCAAAGGAACTGAAATCATTCTTGAATCTAGAATTCTAGAAATGTAAGATAGTTCAACTTCCTGAGCTAGCTGTAGGAAGTAAATCTTTTAATTTGATTTTCTGCCTAAATTAATGTTTGTTTCAGGATGCTAAGAAGGGTGTCTTGTTTATTGACTTCCCTCCAGTCCTC